CCATACCTCTCTTAAAACACATGCTCCTTCTTTTTTGCATTATGCTCACTTATGTATCAACTCATATTCCTTAAAGGGGGAAAAGCTTTGTTTAACACTGTTGCATAGAATGAAGTTCAAATTCCTTAGAATAACGTACAAGGCTTTTGGGACTTAGTGCCTACTTTCTTTTGAGTCTTAGGTCTTGACACTCCCTTCAGTGGACCTGATACCAGAGCTGGTATATATAAGCCAATTACTAGGAATTTCTAAGCCCCTCAAAACCAGATCCCTCAGTTCCACGGCCCATGAAGGAGTAAACTGCTCTCGGATTCTCGTGAGCTCCTGGGGCCTTGTGTTCTCATACAACCTGCAATCCTGCTGACTGCAACAGTTGCTTTCCTCTGTGCTTCACCTGGTAACAACTTATTCCCTTCCTATACTTTGGGAAAATAAACCAAAACCTCCCCAGCAAAATGTTCATGAGTTTGGCCGACTTTTGAAGGAGCTTAAGGAGGACTGACATTTTCTTGGTTACAACTTCCCTAAAAAGTAAGCATCCCCCTGCCCTTTGCCCCACTGAGGCCCAGTCACTCCCTTTTGTGGGTTCCTCATCCCTCCTGATTTTGGTCTTATCTTCCCACTCTCCTCTTTCCATCCCTCCTAGAAGTAAAAGTTTGGCACTCCTAGGACTTTGATCCCAAGCCCTTAACAAATGTTTCAGAGAACACCTAATTTGGGGCATTTATGAATCTCACAGTGCCAGTAGAACATCTCACCTAGCTGGCTCTGATATTCTTTAGGTCATGGATCTGAAAAGCTTCTGAGGCAAAAAAAACTGTTGAAAAATGAATCCTGTTGACTGGAATAGTGTATTTCACTTGTCCTGAGAAGCTGGCATCCCATACTAGCACCACACAGGCTTCCGTGGAGGTCCTACCTCCTCCAGCTGGCTTAGATTTGCCGCTGCTCAGTTAGAGTTGTGTTTACTTACAGCAGCAAGGCCCTGTGATAACTCATCCAGCACATTAACATCTCTTCCTCCCTGTTTTGCTAATCCATTGGCCATCCAGGTCTGAGAAACTTCTGTGTTCGTCTTGGACTGAAGGATGCTGTAGGAATATTTCTGATTTGTATTTAGCTATACAATTACTACATCAGTCATTTTTTACAAACATCTTTATTGAGATATGATTTACATAGTATAAAACTCAATAATTCAAAGGGTACAATTTAGCGGTTTTTAGTATCTTGATGATCGTGTTATGCAATCATCACCACAATTCAAATTCCAGAACATTTCCATCACTTCACAATGAAGCTCCCTCCCTGTAAGCAGTCACTCCCTAGCCCCGACCCACTGTTCAGCCCAGACACTAGGCAGCCACTAATCTGCTTTCTGGTTTATTCTGGGCTTTTCAAATAAGTGAATCATGCAATTTGTGGCCTTTTGGGTTTGGTTTCTTTTACTCAGCATAATGTTTTAAATGTTCATCTGTATAGTAGTATGCATCATGCTTTATTATTGCTAAATAATATCCCATTATATGGATATAACACATTTTATTTATCCTTTAACCAGTTGATGGACATTTGGCTTGTTTCATTTTTTCTATTATGAATAATGCTGCTATGGAACATTCGAGTACAAGTTTTTTTGTGTTGACATTTTTTTTCATTTCTCTTGGGTATATATCTAGGAGTGGAATTGCTGGGTCATATGATAACTTTATGTTTAATTTTTTTTAAAAGATTTTATTTATTTGACAGAGAGAGACACAGCGAGAGAGGGAACACAAGCAGGGGCAGTGGGAGAGGGAGAAGCAGGGTTCCCGCAGAGCAGGGAGCCCGATGCGGGGCTCAATCCCAGGGCCCTGGGATCATGACCCGAGCCGAAGGCAAACGCTCAATGACCGAGCCACCCAGGCGCCCCTGTTTAATTTTTTGAAGAACTGCCAGACTGGATTTTCCAGAGTGACTGGACCATTTTACATTCCCATCAGCAATGAATGAGAGTTTTAATTTCTTCATATCCTCACCAACACTTTTATTATCTGTCTTTTTTAAGTATAACCATCATCATAGCTTGGCAGTGACAACTCATTGTGGTTTTGATTTGCATTTACCAATGGCTAATTATGTTAATTAATTAACTTTGGGGCCGTATGTTTTAATGAACAATGCAGTGATGAAATATAAAATTCTATTTTAATATTAACTTTTAGTAATCTTGAATAAAGTAGTAAAGAGAACATAGACAAATGTCATACTTAGCAAGTGTACCTCATTTCCAGTTCATCTTTAAAAATTCTAACTTGACTACATAAAAGTAAAAAAAAAAAAAGAGGTGAAAACTCCAGAGATAGTTTCATAGGACAAATTCCCCATAGGCTAATAAAACACACTTAGCGATTATCAGGTATAGGGCATTGAGACAAGCCTTGCATCTCTTATTATTTTTGTTTAAACAATTTGGTTTCTGTTGGGGGAATATCTAAACTCCAATTCTTCTAACATGAATAAAATAGCATCCACATCTGGAACCTAGACCACATGAGCTGGCTCCAGAGGGCTTAGTAATTTTTTGTTTTGAAACAAGGACGCAGAAAACATAATGTGTTCCTAAAATTTTTAAAATGAATGGAGTGATTTTATTTTTGGATGGTGTACCAAACTGTTAAATGAAATTAGAAATTTCCATTTAACCAGTGGCTTCAATTAAGTAAATTGTCAAGCACTTCTTTCCTTGACCTGGATTTTTTTTTTAAATAAAAAGGCCTAATAAATGCATCAGTGAAGAAAACAGGATATAATATTTTCATAACCCATTTTCAATTGTCCACATGCTGTATTTAAGACCAATAAATGTAAACCAGCCCTACAAATAAAATTTTTAAAGGACAAACCAATGTACCATTTCTGATATTTTCCCTGCCTGGCAGCTCTGAGACCATAGAAGAGAGGCAATTGCTCTTGTCCACCTCATAGGAAGTGTAATAAAAGTGATCCTGAATGCAAAGACAGGAGAATGACATCTATAAGGCATATTAGTCAGTTCCCCCAGTTTAGTGGGGAAAGTACTGAGAAATGGAGCAGCAGAACCACATATGAAAAAATTTAAGAACTAAAAAGTGCATTTTTTTAAATAAAAACAAAGATTTTAAACAGAAAAAGTGGGCTCTTAATGAATGATTATATGTCTGTAGGCTTTTATATAAAGATTTGTTCCCTTTCTAAGCACTTAAACATAATAAAATGAGCTAAAGATTTCAGATTTTTAGGTTAGGCATAAATAAAAATTTACTAACAAATAGATTAATTAGCCACATGAACTGTCTTCAAAATAAAGTTTTAAGTTTAGAGGTCTTTAAGATTTGTTTATATTGATTCAGATTATATGTACCTGGGCACAGGAAACAAGATAAGGAATTTTCTGGCTCTGGGATTCTGTCACACTTTTTTTTTTTCTTCTTCCTGTGCTAAATTCTGGGGTAGGAGGAGGAGAAATGAAAAAGTAGCCAATGCCCTCTTTTTTTGTATTTCTATTTTTAAAAATTTGAATTCCAGTATAGTTAACATACAGTTTTATATTAGTTTCAGGTGTACATTATAGTGATTCAACAATTCCATACATCACCCAGTGCTCATCACAAGTGCACTTCTAAATCCCATCACCTATTTTACCCATCCCCCCACCTACCCTCTGGTAATCAGTGTGTTTTCTATAGTTAAAGTCTGTTTCTTGGTTTCTCTCTCTTATTTTCCTTTGCTTCTTTCTTTCTTTCTTTCTTTTTTTATTTAAGATTTTATTTATTTATTTGAGAGAGAGAGAGAGGGAGAATACAAGCGGGGAGGAGAGGCTGAGGAAGGGAGAGAAGCAGACTCCCCGCTGAGCAGGGAGCCCAACATGGGGCTCCATCCCAGGACCCCAGGATCATGACCACAGCCAAAGGCAGCTGCTTAACTGACTGAGCCACTCAGGCACCCCTGCTTGTTTGTTTCGTAAATTCTACATATGAGTGATACCATATAGTATTTGTCTTTCTCTGACTGGCTTATTTTGCTTAGCATTATACTCTCTAGATCCATTCATGGTGTTGCAAATAGCAAGATTCCAATCTTTTTTATTATATATATAATATATATATAGTAAATATATATATATATCTTCTTTATCCATCCATTTATCGATGGACAGGCTGCTTCCATTATTTGGCTATTGTAAATAATGCCACTATATATATACGAATGCATGTATCCCTAATTAGTGTTTTTGTATTCTTTGGATAAATACCCAGTACTGCAATTGCTGGATCATAGGGCAGTCCTATTTTTAACTTTTTGAGGAACCTCCATGCTATTTTCCACAGTGACTGCACCAGTTTGTATTCCCATCAACAGGGTAAGAGGATTCCTTTTTCTCCACATCCTCACCAACAACTTGTTGTTTCTTATGTTTTTGATTGTAGCCATTTTGACAGGTGTGAGGTGATATCTCATTGTAGTGCTGATTTGCATTTCCCTGATGATGAGTGATGATGAGCATCTTTCCATGTGTCTGTTGGCCATCTGGATGTCTTCTTTGGAGGAATATTGTTCATGTCTTCTGCCCATTTTTAAATTGGATTATTCATCTTTTAGGTGTTGAGTTGTATAAGTTCTTTATATATTTTGGATATTAATCCTTTATTGGCTAAGTCATTTAAAAATTGCCTTTTAGCTTTGTTGGTTGTTTTCTTTGCTGTGAAGAAGCTGTTTATTTTGATGTATTCCTGATAGTTTATTTTTGCTCTTCTTTCCCTTGCCTCAGGAGGATTCTGTCATACTTTTTACAAAACATTAGAGAAAACCTGAAATTTTATTTAATAATGTTGCCTAACCAAAGTGATTTTATAATTTAAGTGTAAAGAAATATAAGATAGAAGCTATTTTTTTAGTTTACATAAATGGTTATTTATTAGAAATATATTGTCTGTAATAAATTATAATCACAAAGTGATCTTTATATTACATATTTTTAGGGTTTGATGATACTTTCCAGACATAAAAAATTAAAGGAACTTTCTCTATCTGAGTGTTATAAAATCACCGATGTCGGAATTCAGGTAAGATTATTAAGGTCCTCTATTAAAGAATTATGATTAAAAATTAAGCACAAACTGAATAAACTTTGTAGTCACAGTAGAAAAAAATAAGTGGATTGGAAATGTAATAACTCGTATGTGATCTTGGTTAAGACAAAATAAATTCCTGGACTTTAGACAGGCCTCCACAGCTTAAGGTGACTAAGAGAATTTGTTTTCTCATTTTTCCTATCTACTCTCCCATCCCAATGTTAGACTCATGGGATAAATAAGGTAGGTAGACATTTTACTTGGAGAATAATGAAATGCAATGTGGTAAAAGTCTTCTCATATAAAGAAAATATTCTGTAGATAAAAATGTTATATAATCTAACCATGAAAATTGGGAGAGTTTGAAAAATTATACCAGGTACTTAACAATTAGGAACTTCAGATACTCAAACACAGTGGGTAGTATATTTTACCATAACAGAAAGCATGAGCTAAGTAATTGGATAGGATAAATGATTATGTGCTCAACTGGTACTTTAAGAGCTCAGGAGGAAGGTAAATTTCCTAAATCAAGTCTTGAGGGATGTGCTAGAAGCCATAAAATAGCTATTGTGAGCAAGCCTCAATGTAATGTTTATTACAACATTAAGCAACTCAATGTGCTGTTAAAAGAAGAAAAACCACAATCATAGGTCCATACATGTATTGAACCAGGACAACATCTGCTAACCTATTAGTAAATCATAGAAAGTAACATTTTTAAAGAGAACCAGTAACCTAGGAATGTGCAAACTGTTAAAGACACTGGAAGCTCCATTTAATGTGTCCTGAGAGTTGAAAACCCCAACACTTATAAAAACTCAGGGCTAACCTAGGAAAAAAAATCTTTTTACAGAAACTCTTACTGAGATAAAAGGATTTATTCCACAAGTGGAAAGATAACGCAAGTTGATAGCTGAGAATTCTATAGAGCACCACAAACTTGAAGCTCTCTTCTGTGCATTTGAAATGGACATTACAGGAAGTTCAAACATGACTCATAGGAGAGTGTTAAAATATTATATAAATGGTGAGCTATAGAGGATGCTGGGTCAAATGGTGCTCTAGACTTTAGCACAGAATTCTAGAGTTGGGCAGCTGATGGAATCCTAGAACCATCTAAACCAACTCCCTAATTCTACAGGGGAGGAAATTAAGGCCGAGAGAGCTTAATGACTGTCCAAAGTCCTGTACCTTCCTCAGTAAGCCAACCTAACTACAGTTTTATGGAAATAAAGAGTGGAAATGGAGAATTGCTATTCTAAATGGTTGATTGACAACATGGCTTAGTGGAAAAAAAATTGTTTTCAAATTATTTTTGCTGTACTTCATTATATCTGGGCAATTAGTGGTATGTAAGGAAAAAAAATGTAACACCATTAAGAAATCTCTTTTAGGAGGCACTGGTGTAAAGCAATGTCATTTTCTCCTACCTATAGACTCTGGGTACTAAGGTTCTAACAAGTCCCCAAGGAATCTGTCTAGTAGTGTATCCAACTGTATAAAGAGTTTAAAAGGGGCGCCTGGGTGGCTCAGTAGTTAAGCGTCTGCCTTCGGCTCAGGTCATGATCCCAGGGTCCTGGGATCGAGCCCTGCATCGGGCTCCCTGCTCAGTGGGGAGCCTGCTTCTCCCTCTCCCACTCCCCTGCTTGTGTTCCCTCTCTCGCTGTGTCTCTCCCTGTAAAATAAATAAATAAAATCTTAAAAAAAAAAAAAGAGTTAAAAAGAAGAAATAGTATCCTTCAAAGCAAAAATTCCAGAGAGGACTAACAACTTCCATATAGGACAAGATTTTAACTCTACAATACCAAAAGGGGTTATAAAACATTTAGATGCCTGAAATCTACTAGGAGAAAAGCTAAAATGTTCTAAGGTTAAACAACGATTTACCCTGCTGCAGTTCATTTAAAAGTTAAACATACATTTACATAAAACTTTATCCATGAATATGATCTAGTCAGGCTTTCAAAAGGTCTTTGACAAGGTGAAAGAACAAAAGTTATTAAAATAAACAGTTAAATGTTAATAATTCTAATATTGGGTTATAGTTCTTATATGGTGATCAATTACATTTGACCATTAACCACAAATCATTAAGAAGGACTGAAACCTACCACAGTGATGACATGGCCTCTTAATATACACCACTTACTAACTAATTTTTAAAACGTTTCTTGGGATGAGAAAGTACTGATCAAAATATGAGGTTAAGTATTAGGAGTGCTTTCTGTCATTTCTCTTTGACTCTATGGGTTCCAGGCGCTCTTAGATTTTAGATAAAAGCATTTTTCCATATGCTAATTACATATTCATACAGATGAGTGAAAAAATGTAATCTTTTAAAAACTGATATATTTTTTCAGTGATTTAAAAGAGAAAATAAAAAGGGGGAATAGAGGAGCATGGGAATCATAATATTATTTAATTATTAGTTACACAAGATCAGTTATTCTATTCAAGTTCATGAAAAAAATTTTTCTCTTTCTCATCTCATTTTCTCCTCCCTGCTTTTGTGGTGTGTGTGTGTGTGTGTGTGTGCGCGCGCGTGTGTGTGTGTGTTGTGGCTGTTAACCAGTTTTACGTTTCTAAGGTTCCCAGGTTCACACTTCTAGGCATATGATAATCTTTCTCCTCTGTGCCTCCTCCAGCCCAATTGTTAAGTCCAAAAAGAGTTGAGACAAGGAAGGTGAGAGGAGAAAATGACACATAAACCATTTTCACAGTTTCTTATTTCGACTTACAAAAGAGAAGGGAGTCAAATAAGGTGATTGCATTGAGATATTTAGATTATCTATAATTTATCAGGAATTCACTTTCTTGTTACTTCTCAAAGGTAAATATAGGAGATTCTGTTTTTAGCACAAGACATTGAAACTTATATTCAGCATGATGATTTAAGAAAAAAATGAGATAAACATTTTTACCCTGGTTAGGTTTTGCAAGAGTCATGACCATAATAAGAATAAAAAATTACCTCATTTTAGTGTTTTACTGGAAACCACAGCACATGCAGATTAAGTGTCTGGAGTCTCAGATGTCCTGACTTAGGATCTGGTTTTAATTACTTCTTCCAACATTGGTATTTTTTTCTGAGAACATTAGACATTCAATGATCATGTTAAACTAAAATTATTTGGTACTCTTGAAAGGCACACACATTTTGGAAAAGATGTTTGATACAGTCATAACAGAGCATTTATCAAGAAACCTTTTCCTTGATCATTTTATGCACTTAAATAACAAACTGTCAAGTTTGGCAAAAGAATTGGTTTAGTTGCAATACAGATAAAATGGAAGTTCTGTCTTGTTTGGATAAAACCAATGGAATAAATACAATTATTTAGTTGCTTTTTGCACTCCTTTATCTAGTTTATATTTCTCATTCCCTTTTTTGGGAATTAAGTATGCTATAAATACATTACGGTAATAGTCATACATACGAATGTATGTATTTTTCTTTATGTAGGTCATTTGCAGCTGGACAAAATTTTTTTTATTATTTTGGTGTTGGTAGGTTGAGGTAGTTGATTAAGAAAGGGCATTGGAGAGGGGAAAATCAAGTTTAGTTATGACTTACCACAAGGACTTACATGTGTGTATGCAGTGAAAAGTGTGTGTTTGTATGTATTTACACATAAATATGTATGTCAATGTATACGTGTGTATAGTATATGTGTGCAAATTAAATGTGTATAAGTTTTAGCATATATTAGATTGCATGTTTACATGTAAATATGTGTACATCTATGTGTCTAGTATATATGTGTACATTAAATGTGATTTTAGTGTATGTTAGATTATACACATATGTCAACGTCTCTGTATATTTATTATACCCAAATTGTATATAGAGATGCTACAAGATTATATATATTTTTAGGCTAAGACCAAATAAATAGTGATCAGTATTCAAAGCAAATCATAAAGATTAGTCTGTTAAAGAATGATCTTTTTGTTTATATTTTTATTTTAAAAATTAAATATCCATATAAATTAAAAGGATCTTTTTTTTTTTACAAAAGTATGGAGATTAGCTCTTTGATAACAAAGGCAATGATATAATATTGGGAATGTTGGCCTAGCAATCCAAAGTCCTAATTTTTATCCTGATTCTGCCTCTTACATGGCCACATAATCTTATACAATTCACTTAGCATCTTAACAATTCATTGCTCCTATAGTGGCTATAATTGTGAGGCAGGCAGGAACTAGCACTCCAAAATAGGAGTCATCTTTTCTTGTTACTTTTCTATAACATTCTCCTGTAAGGGCCAGATAGCCCTCAATTATCTGACAGATCTAGGACTTCCATTGTAGGCTTTGTAGGCCATACAGTTTCTGTCACAACTGCTCACCTTTGCTGGTGTGGAGTGAAAAACAGCTATAGAAGGTACATAAATAAATGACAGTGGTTGTGTCCCAATAAAACTTTATGGACAATAAAACTTGAATTTCATATAATTTTCACATATCATGAGATATTATTCTTTGACTATTTCAACATTTAAAAACGTAAAAGCCATTCTTAGAATGAAGGCCATACAAAAACAGGTGACCAATCAGATTTGGCCTGCAAGTAAAAATTTGGCACCTTGCCAAGGTCTGCTCTAGAGTCAGAATTTTACAATTTTAGTCTGTGAAGTTGTATGACTTTGGGCAAGTTGGTTTCCTTCTCCAGGCCTTGGATTCTTCACTTATAAAAATGGGTATAATAAGAAAACAGTCTTCCTTTTGTGAGGATTGAATGATATAAAACATCTGAATACTTAGCATGGTTCCTGACACAGAGTGCGTGATCAGTATTACCTATTTTATGATCATTATTCTATTTAATGAAGAAGAAACTAATATATACTAGTAAATAAAAAACGAACATATTTAGTATAATGGTTTGATAATTTATTTACCTTAGTTAAACATAGAAAACATGTAATTTCAATGGCCAAACTGCTCTAATGCTGAGATAGTTTAGAATATGCTCTTGGAAGAAA